AAGATAAAACTCAATTAGAATTCTAGAGAGAAAGGGGGGGAGGGGGGCGTATATTACACGTTAGGAGAAATCTAATCTATTCTCTTTTTCAAGAGCTTAATGATGTATATATAGAGCTACAATAGAGATCCTTAAGAAAACAGGAAGGAATAGAGCTTCTTAAGCATTGGACAAACTGTGGACCTGACCCACTCTTCGATTGCTTAATAATATTACGGTTCACGAACATAATATTATTACACTCCTTTTTTCTGTCCTAAATTATATTTGAGACCCAATAATAATTACACAAATTACCTCTCATGTTTAAGATATAATATCCATATATTAAATCGATTACTGATAATCAAGAATTAATTAATATATTATATTACCAAAGTTAGCTCTCATTCATTGCATTATTATTATGTCGGAACTTAATCCACCTGCAGGTTTAGCATAACAAGAACAATTAGATGTCCTTACCTTTTGCCACGAGTTTAACTGTGGAGGACATTTTGGAGGTCGAAAGATCGTCTTTAAAGTTCTCCAATCAGGTTTATTCTGGCCGACTCTTTTTAAAGATGCTCATAATTTTTATAAATCTTGTGACCGATGTCAAAGAATTGGGAACATTGGTTCTAGAAATGAAATGCCCCTTGTGAACAATTTGTAAGTTGAGATTTGTGATGTATGGGGCATTGATTTCATGAGACCGTTTCCTAAGTCTTTTGGCTTCGAGTATATTCTCCTTGTTGTAGATTATGTGTCCAAGTGGGTCGAGGCTATCCCCACACGGACATGTGATGCTAATGTGGTTATCAAGTTCTTGCGAGGAAATATTTTGAGCAGGTTTGAATTTCCACGTGCCATAGTGAGCAATGGGGGCAAACATTTCTGCAACCGGGTTTTTGAGAAGTTGATGAAGAAGTACGACATTTAGCATAAAGTGGCCACCCCATACCATCCACAGACCTCGGGCCAAGCAAAAACGAGCAACAAGCAGATAAAGACCATTCTTGAGAAGACGGTGAATTCGTTTAGGAAGGATTGGTCGAGTCGGCTCGATGATGCACTGTGGGCCCAAAGGACAACTTACAAAGGAGTATTGGGGATGAGCCCGTTCAGACTTGTTTACGGGAAATCGTGCCATCTGCCAGTGGAGATTGAGCACAAGGCGTTCTGGGCAATCAAAAAGATGAATTTTGATCTTGATGCTGTCGGGCGAGAGAGGATGCTACAACTCTCGAAGCTAGAAGAGTGGAGAAACAAAGCCTACGAGAACTCCAAAATCTACAAGGAAAAGACAAAAAGGCTTCATGATGCTACTCTTGTTCGAAAGAACCTCAAGCCCGGAATGAAGGTACTTCTCTTCAATTCTCACCTTCGTCTTTTTCTGGGAAAGCTCAAGTCCCGTTGGAGTGGGCCCTATATCGTTGATGACGTGTTGTCATTCGGAGCTGTCCGGTTGCGTAATCCAGCGAACAATGATTTATTCTTGGTTAACGGGCAGAGAGTGAAACCATATTTTGATGGGGAGTTCGAAAAGCGACATGTCGAGACCGTCAGCCTCGGCGACCCAGCCTACACGTGATCAAGGAATTATGTCGAGCTCCCGACATTAAACCGAGTATCCTTTGTACTTTTGTAATTCGTTTATTTTATTCTATATCTATATATATATCTGCTATATGTATAAAAGAAAAAAAAAATTTGCAGGTCGCGGCCGCGGAGGATTTATTCGCCGCAGCCGCGACGAGTAATCTCGGTCTCAAATGTGCAGCTTCAGAGAACAATTTCTGCGGCCTCGGGTATTTGTCGCGGCAATGGAGACGGCTCGAGTCGTGGAGCTTTTCTTCGTCGCGGCCGCGGTGTGTCAATTGGGTCCCAAACGCGCAGCTACAGAGCCAAAATCCCACGACCTCGGGGGTTTGTCGCGGCCGCGGAGGAATTGGTCGTCGCGACTCTCATAAAGTCCGTGGCCGTGGAGAACACGTTTTAAAGAGCAATTACAACAGACTTGGAGCATTCTTCGGCCTTCAAATTTTTCTCCTCCACACGGCGAGTTTCGTTCTTTTTCTCTCAGGCATCGCTAAGCACCACATCTCCCTCAAATTTCTTGCAAAATATCACCAAGCCGTCCTAAATTGGTCGTCGTTATCCTCCCAAGGCCTGTGCACGACCATTTTCCAATTGTGGAGTTGAGAAATCGCGAACCCTAGTTCACACCTTCCGAGCTATTCACCGGCGTCGTTCTCCGACCGGCGACTTTTGTCGTTGTTCACGTCATGAACTTACTTCGAGGATATCATCAAATTAACGCACATGCTGACCGTAAATATCCTAATAGCACATAATACAACAATATTACCCAAGACAGTGAAACTATTGATCCAGCGAACTGAATCTTACTCCAGTGAATCAAAGTAATAAATATTGCATGTACATGTTTGTTTAATATCTTATGGGTTAAAAGAACGCAATAATTAACCGAGACTTAAGTTTGTTTACAACAATCACTCTCCTCTATGAGATCCTGTTCAATACATAAAATGTACAAGTGCAACTAATCAGTCAAGACCAACTGTACCGTTGACACTACAACTGTTCGGATGGGGTGTTCATTTCCATCTAGGTTGTGAACCACAATTCTTGTTTCGCAAGTAACTGATAGAATGATCTTCTGTTCGTCCGATGATGACCCATCATATCTAAGTGCAAAACAATAGAACATAGAACTTGTTTAATCAAACATGATTCTCATTCATAAAGGGTAAAAGTGTAATATCATCTAAAGCCTAGCTTTTAGCATATAACACTAACACTCGGAAGCCCGTACCAAGCCCATCTGCCCCACAATCCAGCAGCAGGTGACCAAAGAACCAAAGACGCAGGGGCCTCCTCCGGAGAGCTCTAGCCATCCCAGCACCAGGAATCGGAGAAGACAACAGAGGAAAGAGCCGGCACTGGCCAAAACACTGCTTGTCAGAATGAGACACACGAGTTATGCAGTCCCACCCTCTCCGTCGGTGGGTCTCCTAAAAACTGTCGCAGCAACCTGGGAGTGGCGACACCCACGCCGGGAGAGAAGACCGCACATGGGCTAGAGTCGCGAACCGCGTCGGAGCAGGTACCCACAGTGGTGGAGATGCGCTAATCGACCGAGAGAAAGCAAGATTTGTCGATCTGGTTTTTTTCTTTACTCTGAGAGAGAG